GATACTAATTGGGGTAATTAGTAGATTATTCAAAGTTGCAAGCTACAAAATAACTCCCCAAATCATCAGCATTTCTATATAATTATAACAACACCCAAGAAGCAATTATTATTGCCTGTTAATTATTAATCGCATTCCAAATAACTACAAAATGCATAAAATATCTGGGGATTGAACTACCAAAGCAAACAAAAGATTTGTATAGATTCAGTTATAAAGTGCTCCTTAGAAGAAATAAAGAACAACTTAGATGGAGGAATATTCAGTGTTCATAGCTAGACCATGCCAATATAATAAAAATAACAATACTTCTAAAGTTAATTTACACTTTTAATGTAATATCAACCACATTACCAAGGAGATACTTTAGAGAATATTATAAAAATAATAACAAAATTCATTTGGAAAAATGACAGATCTAGAATATTAAGGGAAATAATGAAAAGAAGTAAGGACAAAGGGGAAATAGCATTTTCAGACCTCACACTATATTATAAAGCAGCAGTCATCAAAACCATCTAGTACTGGTTTTTTAAAAAAAATTTAGAACAGATCAATGGAATAGGAATTTTTTAAAAATAGAACTCAATAACCCAGTGTTTGATAAAATAGAAAACATAAATTACCTAGAAAAAAGTCTTTGTTTAAAAAATAACTGTTGGGAAAACTAGAAACCAGTCTGGAAGAAATTAGACTTAGACCAATACCTTATACCACATTCCACAATACATTCTAAATGGATACATGAACTTAATATTAAATATCATACCATAAAACAAATTAGAAGAGAAGCAGATCATATATCTTTCATAGCTATGGGTAGGAGATCTATTCTTAACCAAACAAGAGATAAAGATAATTACAAAATATAAAATAAAATATAAAATTTTGATTACATGAAACAAAAAAACTTCTATACAGACAAGATTAATGCGCCTAAGACAAGTAGGAATATGGTTGAATTAAATCTTTGTATCAAATTTCTCTGATAAGGATTTTGTATCCAAGATGTATCAACAATTAATAACTAACTATACATGACTAATAACCATCCTCCAATAGATAAGTGGTCAAAAGATATAAACAATTCCACATGACAATTACCACATAAAAAAATTCTCCAAATCACTAAAAATAAGAGAAATGTAAATCAAAATAACCCTGAGGTTTTATTTTATACCCTGAAAATTGGCAAATATGACAAAAAATGGCAAAAGTCAGTGTTAGGCTGTGAAATTATTGACACACTAACACATTGTTTAGTGGAGCTGTGAAATGGTACAACCATTTTGGAAAGCAATTTAGAATTTTTTTTTTAAGTGACTAAAATGTCCATATCCTTTGAACCATTACTGGGCTTATAGCTCAAGGAAGACATCAATAAGAAGAAAGTCCCCATAATCACCAAAATATGTATAGCAGCACTTTCTGTGATAACAAAGAATTGGAAACAAAGTAGATGTCCATCAGTTGGGGAATGGCTAAACAAATTGTCGTACATTAATGACATGGAATATTCTTGTGCTGTAAGAAATGATATGTGTGATGAATACAGAGAAGCATAGAAAGATCTATGTGAATTGATGCAGAATGAAGTAAGCAGAACTCAGAAAACAATATATACAATAACTACGACAATGTAAATGGAAAGAACAACCACATACAAAAAAAAAGTGAATGTAACAAAATTACAATGATCAAACTAGATTTGAATGAAGAAAAGTGAGAGGACACGCCCAAGCCATCCCTTCAAGGAAATGAGAGATCCACACCTACTAAACATTGCATGTTTTTGGACTTTTTCAATGTAGTAATCAGCTAAGTTGGGAATTTTTTTTCTCTTTAAAAAATATAATTTATTATATTGAATGGTTCTCTGGGAAGGGTAGAGGGATGCTGGGGATAATTATGATCACGTTAAAAACAGAAGACATCAATAAAAGGTTATTTTTGAAAAGTGGATATGACTCTATCAGCAAAAAATGACAATAAAGAAGATATATTAACACCTGCTTTGTCACTGCACCATGAGACCTTTCCATTTGACATGCACCTGAAACCTCTTAAATGCATTGTGTCTGCCTTTAGAATGTGAGCTCCAGAAGAACAGAGACTGTTTTGCTTTTCTATTTGTATCCCCAGTGCTTATAACCATGCTTTGCATATGGTAGGCACTTAACATGCTTTTTCATCTACCCATCCATCCATCCATCCATCCATCTATCCATCCAATATTAACTTGGGTACAGTGGCCTACAAGTACAGGTAGAATATATGCATTAAGATCATAGAATAATAGTGTAGCCCTTTTAAGCCCTAGAGGGTCCTTATCTTAACTCCCACTTTTAGTGACAAGCCAGGTCCCTAAGCAAGGCTAAATATCTCCCCCAAGGATTTAAGAGTATCCCTGAAAGCGTGAGTATCTCTCTAATGCTGACTATAAATTCTACATTCTGGAGTATCCTTGCCAATATCCTCACCAGCAACTAGTGCCCCAGTATTATTTAAACAATTAACATCAGTTGGCTTTTTTTTTTTTGGTTAGGCAGTGGGGTTAAGTGACTTGCCCAGTGTCACACAGCTAGTGTTATGTGTCTGAGGCTGAATTTGAACTCAGATCCTCCTGACTCCAAAGCCAGAGCTCTATCCACTGCCACACCTAGCTGTTTACTGAGAAGAGACATTTACTGAAAAGATGTAACCAGAACAAAAGTACAAACATTTCCCTCTAAACCAGGAACATTTTCTCACGTACCATCTCAGTTCCTGAGGATAGTGGGGCTCAGACTTAAAACTACAAACCATTGCCTCCACCAAGTTTACTTCCAAATATGGCCTACCTGATGTACAAAGTTGTTCCCTTATTTTTAGGAACCAATATCTTGAATACAAAGTCAATATATTACTGGGCTGAGCCTGGTGGCCCTTAGGGTCTATGCTGTCAGACTAGGCAAGCTTAGACAGCTGCAAAATCTGGCATGGACTCTTGCTTATGGACCTATTGTCACTCTTACAACCTTTCAAATTTCACAAAGTTTGAGTCTAGTCCATTCAGTCTCCAATATTGCATCATCTAAGGCAGGAAAGACTATGTACAACAGGGACAGAAGCAACACCAGGATCACGTGCTCATGGATTCATATCAACCCAGATAGGCTGTTAGTGCTAGCTCTCTCTCCCTAGCCAGAGAGGCTTAAAGCAGTCTTGCCTCCTCACTGAAGATAGCCAGGAGGGAGAAAAAGAGAAAGAGCAGCTCATTTTGGCCAGTCAGTGCCTTTTGAATATACACCTAGTTCTGGTTCAGCAACTAACCCAAAGTCCTTCTCTTGAGCACTTGGTTAACAAACCAGGAACAGTTACAGAATACCTGCATGTGCTCCAAAACCCACAGTAGAGGAGTGTACTCAGATAGCCTACTGCACATACTCACGAGGACTGGACTCTCATTGGCCAATCTCCTCCTCATACTCCAACAGAATCACAGATTTAGGTCGGAAGGTATTTTAGAGGCCATGGAGTCTATCCCCTTCATTTTACAGATGAGGAAATTAGGACCCTTCAAGGTTAAGCGACTTGCCTGAGGTCACATAGGTAGTATAAGTAGCAAAGGCAAGAACTAAACCTGATTCGCTGGGCTCCAGAGCCATTGTTCTTTCTCCTTGAGGCCATGCTTACTATGGTCTGGATCCACAGTAACTTCTTTCCCTGCTCTTCTGTAGAAATTAGAGGATCTAGCCCTATCCTTATGCAAAGGTAAAACGTTTGTTCCTAGCAAGGAGAGTATGGAATCAGCTTCACCCAGAGATGAGATGTCTATTTCTGACGGCAAGAATCTTGCCTCAGCTCCCTCTGTATGTGAGGCTTCTCACGCAATCTCAGTCTGCTCTCAACTGTTGCTGAGTTGTCTCCTTTAATCATTAAGACTGAAAATTTCTTAATGAACACCTTCTCCTTGAATGGAGGGTGAGCAAGTCAATCCCAAGTACTGCCCTCTACCTGGATTTTATCAGAAATTTTTGAGTAGTCAAATGTCTGGTAATTCACAAACTACATTAATGGTTTCTCCTGGCTTTGTTCAACTATAAGTTATTCCACAGATTCCCTGAATCCTTATTGTAGCCTTCAAACATCTAATAATATCCTCAACTTCATATCCAAGGTCTACTCTAAACACCAGTAGTCCTCTATGTATTTTAGTGCCCTTTAAATGGTAATACATTTCACATGCAACTCTCATGTTTTCAAAATATTGATCCATAATACAATTTGTGATCAACGACAGAATGAAAATGAATTAGTCATGCAATATTGTGCCACAATAATGCAACAAAATAATGCTCTAAGTAATTAACATGGAAAATAATAGTATAGGGGCAGCTAGGTGGCACAGTGGATAGAGCACCAGCCTCAGACCAAGCACTTGACACTTACTAGCTGTGTGACCCTGGGCAAGTTACTTAACCCCAATTGCCTAAAAAAAGAAAGAAAGTAATAGTATAATAGATATGCAGAGTATTAGTAATCAATCAACAGACATTTATGGAGCACCTACTAGTGCCAGCTAATGATAGTCACCTTTCATTTGCACACCAACAGGCAACCAAATAATGTTTGGTATCAGAATTAGCTCCATTAAAAAGAGGCTTTCATAATTTAACATAGGAATTCAGTGAAAAAGTTAGGGTTAAATTCATACTCCACAGGAGACTAGGCAACCAACTGCAATAAAAATTGTAAAACAACAGAAAACATAAAATAGGAATTGAATTCAAAACAAAATCAAACTGAAAAATCTCAGTAAAAAGAAAGAAAAGAAAATAGCATAAAAAGAGGCGCACTTCAAAAACAAAATTACAAAATTTGACAAACTCTACCAATAGCAGCAAACCACTTTTCTTAATTCCATTTCAAACTCAAAGAAGCAAAAGAAAAATGAAATAATGCAAATAAGATGAAAAAGGAAAAACAAAACATTTAAAAATTTTTTGTAGTCAAGTTACCTCCAATGTTTGTAGCAAAAATTCTGGAACACTCTACTTAAAGGAAGCAGGAAGAATCAAAACAATATTCAGGCTTCCCTAGCAGAGAAAAATTAAAATGTTAGAAAAAAGAAACAAAGAAAAAATATCCCAAGATAAGTTCCCACATCTAACACTTTCTAATGGTCAATTTATGTGTTCCTAGCAGTGTGTGTGTGAGTAGAGAGTAAGGGTTCTACCCAGTAAAGATTGATGAACACAACTATTTAACTGTCTTGATCCCCACCCTTGGGTAGGAAATGCCGCTCATTACCAACTCCCACCTTCAGATCTGGCTTTCACTTTAGTCAATACCCTTATCCCCATCTTTCCTGGAAATGGGTTCTTTTAGCCTCTAGGAGAACAAAGGACCAAAGATAACTAAAGTTTGCAATTGACTTAACTCCAGCTCTTCCATCACAGGGACTTCTAGAATGTTTAGTTGTGCCTGAGTTTCTCTGATCCAGACTTTCTTGGTCTTTCTCTGTGTTTGGAAAGTTAAAAAAACATGAATCAATAAATATCTTTTCAGTTTAGCTCCAAGCCCCCTCATATTCCCAACAGTTATAAATAAAGACTGATGGACAGCAGCTTCATCTCTCCCAGAGAGAATAAAAAGGAAGAGACAAAAGGCAGAGAATAAAGGATGTGAGTGTAAAATTCACCAAACTCTTTCTGGTGACAAACAGGCTCAGCAATTACTCTGCCTGGCTTATGCTTATCTCAGTCCACACAGTCCCAATGTCAGTCTCAGACTCCTCTTCTCATTCTCCATAAAGACCGAGGTTGGAGTCACTTGAATGAGGAGGCTATGGCAAGGGTGGGTGGGCCACAGCCCCTTTCTCCAAATACCACGGTAGCTACGCTGCTCTTTTCTTTCCAAGGTGATGGTTCTGCAGCTTCTCCATGAAGACATGGTTGAAGTCACCTAGGTGGAGAGGATGTGGCTGGAGAGGCGGTAGGTGCTGCCTCCCCACCTTGTTGTGGTGGCTAACGAGACCTGACTTGCTGGTGCCGCTGAAGTTATTGACATCCTCTCTACGCACAACGGCTTGCTTCTCACCTCTCCAGTGCTGCCAGCTCTCCACCTCCTTTTTGATGCCATGGACCGATAGTTTTGGGGTTTTTTAGATAGTTTTTGAGGTATTCTATCCCAGATACAGGAAACATTATAGATGATTCCTGGAGCAGCCAAGAATTGGTAAGCTAGATCTTCTCAGCAGCTCCTAAGGCACCACCTACATTCTACTCTGGCAGAGGAAACATGGCTGCGCTTTTACTGAGTTTCTGCCTCAACCAATCCTTCCAAGTCTTCTGATACTGGAGAGTCACCAAAATTAGCTTTCTCAAGATCTACTTCCGAGTCTGAACAGCCAGTGACCTCATGGTGTTCACTGCCAACACTTGCTTCTATCCTCCAGTAGGCTTCTGTACATGTTGCATGGGTGGTCAAAATATGCAGGTACTGAGTCCAAGCTTATTCTTACAGTATCCTGGTTGTATTTTGAATAGGCTAGAATTAGTTCCAATTAGCACTGACCCTCTAGTGACAGAAAGTAGCACAGCATAATAGAATACCAGGATGAGAGTCAGGAAGAACTGGGTCCAAATGCTGTCTCTGATACTTATGACCTCTTACCCTGGAAGAGTCGAGTCCTCTCTAAGCCTCAGTTTCCTTATCTATAAAATGGGGATAATACTAGCATCCACCTCACAAAGTAGTATTGAGAATCAAATGAGATAAACCTCACAAACCCTAAAGAGCTATATAACTGGACCTGTGATGTTATTAATATAGAGAATTTCCAGGTACAGAAACTCCATTTATCAGTTCAGGTCAGCACCTTATCTGAAACTTAAAGTCTTAGAGAATTGCCTAGACTACTGAGAAGTTATCATCACCATCATCATCATCATTAATTGGTATAACTGGACACACTTGGGCATACTTCACTGAGCTGTGGCATCCACCTTCCTACTGACACCAACAATTTCCTTTGAAGAGTCCAAGCTTACTCTGAGATATCCCAGATATCAGTAGTCTTAATCACTCAATCCTCTAAGTCGCATCCCTTCAAAGTTTGTAAAGGTATTTCTCTCAAACATCTCTCATAGTCACAGAATGACAAAAATATAATACTCACTTGTATTTTCCTGTCCAGGATGGCAGTCCATTCCACATTCACAATTTCCACTGTCACCTTTATGAAGGGTCCTGTAGGTCTAGGAGGAATAAATTCATAAATGACTGATAATGAGGCCATTCTTCTAGCCTTTGGGGCAACCTCCTTCCCTGGTTCCATCTGCTTTTCCCAAGGTTCAGTTCTTGGAATTCAGACTCTCACATACCAACTTCAACTCTCAGGTGCTGGCATCACTCATGAGTTCATCCAGGTCATGCATCACAAAAAAATAGTTCTGCTTTCCCAACTTTGTCCAATTGATAATGTTCTCATTTCAGGCTGTCATGGTCTCCATGCCCTTAATCCTTTACCTTTCCAAGTAGAATGGTTTTATCCATAATTCCAGCTCTCAGCAAGTTTTCTGTAAGCTCCTTTCTTCATGTTTGCATCTGCAATGTAGCTCTATGATTTTTGTTTTCATAGCCACTACACAAGATGTACCTTCCCTAATTATCAATAGTATTGTAGCTCTATGCCTGCCTTCCACCTTAATTAGCATGTCCATTGTGGAAGCATATCTTTAAAAATTCCTATTAGTCTTTTAAGAAATAATACTTCTCTGCCCAAAGGGCTATAAAAATGTGCATACCCTTTGACCCAGCAATACCACTTCTAGGGCTATATCCCAAAGAGATCATACAAATGAGAAAAGGACCCACATGTACAAAAATATTCATAGCAGCTCTTTCTGTGGTGGCAAAGAATTGGAAATTGAGAGGATGCCCATCAATTGGGGAATGGCTGAGCAAGTTGTGATATATGAATGTAATGGAATACTATTGTGCTATAAGAAATGATGAACAGGCTGACTTCAGAAAAATGTGGAAAGACTTGTATGGTCTGATGCTGAGTGAAGTGAGCAGAACCAAGAGAACGTTGTACACAATAACAGCCACGTTATGCGATGACTAATATTGAGAAACTTAACCCTTCCCAGTAATACAAGGATCTAAGACATCTCCAAAGGCCTCATGATGAAAAATGCTATCCACATCTAAAGAAAGAACTATGGAAGTTGAATTGCTATTAATATTTTCTCTTCTACTGAGTTTTGTTTCCTCTTTCTGATGGTTCCTCCTATTGGTTTTAATTTTTACTTACAACATCACTAATGTGAAAATATGTTTAATAGGAATGTAGATGTATAGCCTATATCAGATTGTGCACTGTCTTGGGGAGGGTGGTGGGGAGGAAGGGGGAGAAAAATTTTAAACTCAAAAGCATATGGAAGTGATTATTGATAAATCAAAATAAATTAAAAAAAAAAATATTTCTCCAGCCTAAAACCTTTCCAGATCTTTCCTTTTAGCAAAGTAGGAACAGCAAAAGCTAAGGCCTTCCTTTGAAAAGGAGTAACCAAACTTAATTCTTGTCTAGGTAAGATCACTGTCTCCCCACCTGGAGTGATAAGTACCATTGTGCCACCTTAGGACAAAATCTACTCTTTTGAAAATCAAGGTTAAAATATTGATCATAGGGAGGAGCTCTTAAGGGAAAGTGGTCTGGGAAGGAACTGAGTAGTACTGGAATGCTGTACTTTGTACTTGCTGTAATAAAACTGTATTTTAACATATTATGATCTTTTCTTTGTTCAAGATTCCTATAAGTGTTGCCTAAAACCTTCTTGCGTCAAAGATTCATATTGGAAGGCGTGGAGGGCATTATGCTAATTTGGATCTCTCTCTCTTTCTTCATCTCCCCCTTCCTTTTCCTCCTTGTTCCCCCTTCTCTCCCTTCTCTTTCTCCCTCCCCACCCCTTTCTCTCTCATCTAGAAATGGCTTGGATATACCATAGTCTATAAAACACCAAAGTCCATAAAATTATTTCTGACAGGCTTGAGTCTAAATCACAGAGTACATCATTATCATGATTTTTTTTTAACACCAGAACTGGCTAAAATGTAGCAGCTTAGATTGTGACTCAAAACCAATAATGGACAATTGCAGCTCATAAGTATTTTTCTAGGCCAACTTAATCCAGTCCAGTGACTCAAGCTAGGGGACAGAATGCAACAAGACCCTCATAAACCATAGACTTGCTCATGAGAGTGCAGGTTGGGTGAACAAGCCATCCCAGAAAGCAAGAATGAAGGTTCACACTATCCATAGGCTATACTATGGGAGCTTGTATGGGATTTATTGGTGGTGCCCTTTGCATTGGCAGTGACCCATTGGAGAAATTATTCATTAAGGATTCTTAGATACTTGAGTTTCACAGGGATCTAATGGAGAAAAAAAAATGTTAAATCTCTTTTAACAAGTTTTTCCAGTGTTTTCCTTTTACAAGTCAAACCAGCTTCTATGATACAATTTCAATTATTTGAATATTTAAGTATTAATATCTGTAATGTATGGTATCTATCATTAAGTACATAAGTTAATATGGGTAATACAGATGTTTCATGTCTAGAGTACTGGTGAATAGCAATGAAAATAGAGTTATACAGAGGACTCTTAGTTAAAGAATTATCACTTCGTCTAAGAAACAAAGGTGTTGAGGACATTTTAACTCTTTTTTAGACTCTTTGTTCATCTTTTCTAGGAATTCTAGTTGAACTTATATACAAGTTGTGTTTTCCTTTGAGGCTTTGCTTATAGATATTTTGAAGTCATTCTCTCTTTCTGGGTTTGTGCCTCGAGCATCCCGGTTATCGTAATAATTGTAGTTTTTTTGGGGGGGGGTGTTATGGTGGGGTTCTTTTTTAATTTGCTCATTGTTCCAGCCTACTTCCTGGCTTCAGACTTGATATTGCTGTTTTCTTAGAATATTGAATGTTGTGTAACTCTAGGATCATGGGTACAACTCAGGTTGGAAACCTGCAAGCTTTTAGTGTTCCCAGAGTAGTCTCATCCAGGACAAAATCTGATTCCTGCCCTTCTTT